TTCTCCTGTTCACCCAAGAGACTGAGATACTTCCGGTACTCCCGTTCATTTTTTAGTTCCAGGTGTGCATTCTCCTGTTCACCCAAGAGACTGAGATACTTCCGGTACTCCCGTTCATTTTTTAGTTCCAGGTGTGCATTCTCCTGTTCACCCAAGAGACTGAGATACTTCCGGTACTCCCGTTCATTTTTTAGTTCCAGGTGTGCATTCTCTCGATCATGCACGCACTTTTCATCGTTTTTCTGCGTGTCATACTCACTGTCTAGCATGATCTCAAGCTGTGTTGTGGGCTTTTCGATGTTCCTGTTCAATACATCGTGTGCTACGCTGGTGCACTGTCTTTCAAGTATTTTTGGCGGTACCTCAACCACAGAATCATTCTCTTTTGGCTCTCCCGGCTCATTACCCACCCTTTTGCCAAAGAAGTTCCCATCTAAGCCACCCCATCCCACACACCGAATGCTATCGCAGGCGAGCACATCCCTTTCACCCGTTTTCTCTCCAACAATCTGTTCATCTGCACAGATCACCCCACACACACGCTCATCCTTTTTTTCTTCAACTTTTTTTCCAATGCTCTCCCGCATGCCCAACCGCGCATTTCCACCTTTTAGAGCGATAACATGTGAGAAAAACGAAACAAACCAATCAGATTGGTGTGGAACTGTCATGTGCTGGCGAGTAATGCTTGGTTGTTAAGTTCAATATTTGTGTCTGATTGTGATTGTCTATGATGTCACCTATATCACATGATGAAGAGTGGACTAATGAGCAATTTGTGTCATAAAGGAAATGAAGAGATGGGAACAGCCGTGCACACCCACAGCAATGCTAATTTGTTAAATTATTTTTGTTTTACTTTTTAAGGGTTGAACCCTTGTGACGAGTAGATCGTACATTTTCAATGGAATCAAACTTTCTTACGTAGAGCACTTTTTAGTGATCAGTTCAATTTTTGGAAATCGTACTTTTATTTAAGTGCCTTCTCAGCAGCACGTGTGTTTATTGGTAGGGCGTGCCATGCATGGGTGCACAGAAAGCCGCCGTGTTACCGGCCACGATAGACGGTTCTATGCATAAGAACGGATCGTATTATTCGGTGGGTGTTTAGAGCGGGTCCTGCAAAGAACGGAACGAGTTGGTTGAAATGACACAGGCGATTCGATTGTGGTTGGTAAACGGCACTTGAACGATTTGTGAGCACTACAGAGCGATGCGCTGCGAGAGCAGTTTTTCGGTAGATCAGCGGCTAAACTACCAATTTTCTATTAAAGCACATTTACATGCCTCCAAGCAACACCTATACAACACACTCGCTGTTGCTAAAAATTGGAATTGCCGTAGCTCCGTAATTTTCCATGAAAATACGCTTATCATGTACTAATCGTGAGATGCTCACGATTGGAGATAATTCGTAGCGGCTGCCAGGGTAAAACGTGTTAACGATTTACGTATTTTAAACATGGACAGCCCTGCATTCCTGGTCACCAAGCGAAACCTTCTTCTCGATAAAACGGCATTCTGAACGCTTTCTCATTTCTTAAATGTCAACGTGTAAAAATCTCAGACATGAGTTATACGCACTCTACACCTAACCTGGCGTGCCGTTACCGCAACCAAGTACACTACCTGGCACGTACGGCGACAAACGAACCACCCCGCTCACGTCTTACACCAAATCGTTTTACATCCTACGCATGGTACGAAGCCGACCGGAAACCAAATGCTACGCCGTTCCTGATGCACAAATACGAAATTGCCATCGTACACGGCGCATTTTGAAAGTAGCGGACAAAGTCTATCGATTCGGCTGGCAGGTGCAGTCGTTTGACCGGTAAATTTTATAAAATATCCTTTGCTTCTCCTGAAACGAAGGATCGTGAGCAAAGGCAGGTGCCATAACAGAAACAAAAACGATCACGCACCGCATACCAAACACCCGTGGCAGCATAAGCACGTTCGTTTGCGCCATCCCATGCTGACAGGATTAACATCTCATCGTGGCACAGACCAGTAAAACTGAAACAAGCAATAATCACAATAAATGCATAAAATACGCACGCACAGCCCACAGTACCATACCGTTTAACCGCTCAGATCTGCTGCTTCACATCCTGTCCTCAATTACTTTCTGATTGGTGCTGCACGATTCATTCGAACTGCAAGGCTTTAATTTCCATAAAAACAGCGTTTCATGTTCCCACGCATACCGTGCAGAATACGTGCTGCCAGCTCACAAAATGATGCCGATAAAAAAATACGAACGGTGGTAACAAATCATCGTTTTTAAAACCAAGCGGTGTACGAACAAATCAAAACATGCAAACAAGCTTTGCGGTAGGGACAATGATGCATGCACCTGTTCTGATGAAAAAACTGCGCATTTCAATCTTCTCTTTGGGCCATCCCTGTGTACAGGGGAGCTGTTCGTGCGTACACGTCCTTGTACTCGCCGTGCCGATCACAATTGTGTAATTCGCTGCGATAACCGTTACCCTAGCAGCTGCCTATCTTTGATATCAGATCTGCTGCCCATCCCATGGTCATCTCATCTCGATAAGCACCTCAGGATCTGCTGCCCATCCCATGATCATCTCATCTCCAACATCAACTCTACCAGGTGCTCCCACTTCTCCGTACACTCATCATTCTTCTCGCAGTAATCGCTCAGAATGTCCAACCGATACTTCTTGTCGTACTCATCGCCGTACAACACCCGGTACGTAAACATCATCGGCTTCTTCTCAAGCGCATTGAATATCACGTACCGGCACTCTGTGTAATCCTTGTGATCATCCATTGCGACCGGCCATACCGGATAAAACGCTATTATCAGGTACTTCACGGTGCTCATCCGCTCTTTTAATTTGTAATGGCCCAGCCCGGAACAGAGAACACCAAGACACATCTTGTACTTCAGGATGCGGCCGTAATCGAGGCAGCCCGTTACGTAGCAGCCCTCATCACAGCACACATAGAACGACGTTCTGTTGGTCAGGAACTTCGCATCCTTGGTCTCAAGGATCTTCCGTCTTACGATGCGCAGCACGTCAAGATCACACGTACCTGAATTGATGACACACAGCACGATCAGAGCGTAATCAAAGACAACCCTGAAGCTCTTCTTCCTGTGCATTTTCTCTTCCATCTCCAAACAGAAACCGAGCAAGCTTTGCGTGATCTCTTTGCGCTTCTTGTCCTTGACCATTTCTCTCTCCTCCTCGTCGGTGAGTGCGCTGCTCGTTCTCTCAAACGTTTTCTTGTTGATCCTGTCGCAGTAATTCACGAACCACAGGCAGATATAGAACAGCCTCCCCGCCACCCGGTAGTAGTAGCCGTTACTTTGGTTGTCTTTGACGGTGAACAGCCCGTTCACATCGATTTCCTCAAAATCGATGCAGTTCCTCAGGACCTCCGACATGAAAATCTCCTCTGGTTTGCACTCCTCCTTCCGGAACAGCTTTCTCTTCACCCACTGCTTGTCCGTGTTCATGAACAAAAAGCCGTTGAGCACCAACTCAAGAAAAGGATCATTCATCGGTGTGTATGTGCAGATCGTCTCGCTGTACTTGATCGTGTGCACCAGACGGTAATAGAAATCGTAGAATTTCCTCCTTTCGTTGCTGTATGGCCCCCTTCTCTGCGACTTCTCCCTAATCTTCGTGACATGGTCGGCAAAAAGGACGGACAGGAGGGGATACGTCTTCTTCGAGAGAAGCGTGCGCACGTCATTCAATTTGGTGATGTTTCTGTTCATCAACTTGTCACTGAGCCTCTTCTTTCCCATCTTTTTGCTTAGAAAGTAGACCAAAGCATCGCCCAGCGCAGCATGTTTCCTTATGTTTTGGGCATCCCTGCGCTTTCCTTCGAAGTCATCGGCATCAAAGCGTATTTTACTCTCGTACAGAATTTTTTTGATGCATTCCACGTCTTTCTGAACTCTGTGCTTCTTCACCATTTTGTTGATGTTCACAGATTTGTCGTAGAAGAACAGCCGCTCGTACCGAATGTCCATGATTTTTACCGCAGTGTTAGCATTTCCGTGAATCGAGGCACCTGCCAGCACAGTGTCCGTAGCGTGTAAACGCTCAGCTCGCACATTTCCGTGGATCGAGGCACCTGCCAGCACAGTGTCCGTAGCGTGTAAACGCTCAGCTCGCACATTTCCGTGGATCGAATCATCCGCACCGCTGTCGTACAAAAATCTGAGCCTCATCAAGTTAAAGAAAAAATCATCATTCGTTACCTTAAAGAACGCCATAACCAGGAAAATCTCATCAAGTACGTGTTTCACGCCCCTTTCCAAAATAACCTTTTCTGTAATTCTCTTCAGGTTTATTCCCTGTTCCTCGACGTACTGCACAAAACCGTTATCAAAACATTCCAAGTCCGAATTGAACACCTGCACAAGCAATTGGCGAAAATCATCTGCCGGCATTCCCCTACACTTCTCGAAATGTCTGTCAAACTCTGCGTTCAGTTCCTCAAGATCAAAATTGCTGTGATACAAGAACCGGTACGCTGTCTCCTTGTCCCTTGCATTCGCTATCAGTTCGTGCATCAGATCCCTGACAGCTGCCCGTGCATACTTCCTGCTCACCACCACACTGCCATACACCAGCATATCATCAATTGTTAGGAATGTGTCACGGTTCAGTGACCTTGTTCTGATACCATGTCTTACCTGGTAGCTGATGCGGTTATCATCGTGTGTCTCCAAATCGTAGAGCGAAACAAAGCCGTTACCGGCCAGCACCAGGTACTTCTTGTAGAGATGGGCAAGCGTGCCATCAAACACCATCATTTTGTAGAAGACCCGTGTTCCTTTCTTTACTATGAGGTGATTGTCGTATATTCCCACGAGCTCTGTGCTATTTCCGGTGCTGCTGCTCATCCTTGTGCTGTTGCGGTAGACCAGGTCATCAGCACCCGCACTGCGCATAGCACCCACCATCTCACCGCTACAGCACTCATCCTTGGTGCACACCTCTTCTCTCCGTCCGTAGTAGTGCGCAAGTCTGTAAATCTTTTTTCCTTCTCTCGTATAGAAAAACGAGTCATCAATGTAAACCACGTTTTGTATGTTGAACGTTTCCTTCCTCGAGTACAGGTAGAGATCATCTGAAAGTATCGCTATGTACTTCTGGAAGCGCATGATTCGTTTGATGTCGCTTCTGAACCTGAAATTGAGGTGGTCTGAGTGTGCCGTGTTCTTGGTGACCTTGAAGGTGATTTGCATTGTTTGTTGAGGGATGGATTTTTCTTAATTGATGAAAAGAAGGTGAGGAGAGGAGCTTGGCGTAATGCGAGGAGAAGAACGAACGCACTCATCAGTGTTGAAAAGAAGGTGAGGAGAGTATCGACCCTTTAGCGCTGTGCGCGCTCAAACATTGAAAAGGAAGGTGCACATGAAAACTTGAACACGTCCACCGGCTCATTGTCTAAACTCGCACTAGCGATCAGCAGGGGAAGGCGAGCATTTAAGAAGTGCATGATCAGATTGGCAAATTTGTACAGCAGCATTACAAAACGGACGAGGTGCCAAGGTGCTCAAAAAGAAACTTTGAGGACAAGACGTAGCGGTGGTACGTTTATGGTTCATCAAGGCAGCGTTGTGTTCGTATGTCAGGTGCTTGTCTTGTTCCATGCCATCTATGTACGATATTTGGCTAAAACTGAGATCTATCGGCCATCCGAGTCAGATCCGTAGCGAGCTCTGATTAAAGACCGGTTATGTCGGCACAACAGTTGTATCCTGTAGAATTTATGGATGTATACGCTGAGTGCACAACGTGTGCCTCGAGAATGAAAGTGCTTGAATACAAATTTGGATCAAATCTACCCGAACTTAACATAACGAACATTTTATTTTTATCCAAAGAGAAAACAAAATCTTTGTAAAGAGCGTTTTGACCAGGGACCATAGAAAGTCAAGAAAATCGTGTTGTTCAGGTGTGGAAAGATAAGTAAACGGCTTTTGATGGATAAAAGAGTGTGGTGCTGATGGCAGAAGAACTAGTGATGTGCAAAATGACATCCTCTCGTCCAAAAAGAAAGTTTTTACACCCAAATGCACGGGTACCGCAAAGATAGGCCCAGCGTTGTTGCACAAATTTGCATTCCAACACTTCACAGGTCCTTGCTACTGCATATCTCCATGGCATTCGTTCCTAGAAGCGTATCACAATTAAAAGACATTTTTCAGCATTGGTACGTACGAGAATGGCGTGCTCTACGCTGTTTTGACAGGGTCCCTTTTAGACATGGTGCCGCGATTGTGCACCTTCGTGGCAGTTGAACGTATCTTACAGAACAATTTACCATTCAAAGCACGTATCGTGAATACGAAATCGTTCTGTAAAGATCAACGCTCCTTTTTTGTAAAAGCCATTTATTCATTTTCTTACACATCAAAAACTTCCAAACGAACTTTTCCGGTTGTTACCACTCACTGCCTCCCGTCACACCTTCGTTGGTGTGGCGCGGTTATTTTTGCATATCATCGTTCGATTTCTAGCCCTGCCGAATTATGTTTTACTCACCAATCTACGAGTACGCCAAGAGCCTTTACAAAACGAGCAAACTGAGCGAGTTAGACAGTTTCTTGAAGGAGCGCTTGCCTTTGTCGTACAACGTGCATCTATGGCAGTTATATCTCGCATATGTGGGCCAGAATACACCTGAAAAGCTACTGGATGCGTACGAATATGCTTTGTCCCATCTGGAAGGACATTTTGACATAACACTGGTTCTGAGAGATTACCTGGGCCTGATCGACAGCATGCATGATCAGGACGTTGTTGATCGCAAGAGGATGGCCTACCAGAATGTCATAAAATATGCCGTTTTCAACGTGCCTTCGATCTACAGGGAATACGAGGAGTTCGAGTACAAGCTAAACAAGTTCACGGCAAAAACACTCCTGGAGAAGGCGGCATACAATTTCAAGGGGCATAAAAGGCTGTCAATGACGTTCGACGCAAATGCTGAGATCATGGACCAGGTCACGTTGGAGAACTACAGCACGTTATTTGAGGTTGAGGAACGCAAGGAGTTTGTGTGGAAGTGTCTTAAGGAGAAGTTCTACTACGATGAAGAGGTCTATTTCGAGCTGATCAAGATTGTGCCCGGCTTTGTCGATGAGGCCATTCTCTGCAACTCATTTATAAGTCATGACGAGCAGTTGGATGCACCGTTGACATTGGAGAGCTGCACAAACACCTTTACACGCACCAATTTCTTTTTTGTTCTCCTGGGCGTGTACTTGGGCAGAGTCGACCTGACCAACTACATCTTCAAGGAGGAGTTCTTGTCAGCGTGGGACGCTGAGCAAGATAAATCAGGGTCGGCCACGGCCAAAGCGGTGACAGTCAGCGATCTAAAGGAGACGTTCAGGGTCATGCGAATCAGAAAAAAAGATCTGGTGTACATACACTTCCTCGACATGGTATTCAAGAGCAAAGGGGTACACGCCTTTCGGCGTGTATTCAATGATATGAAGGACATTATCGGTCCGCTTGTTTTCTACTACGTCGCACAGCTCGAGTATTATGTGCACGGTGACGTGGATGTATTCATTAATGTCATGCTGCTCGGTTCGAGGAAGAACAAGTCGCTTGAAACGTACTTGATAAAATTTCTGGCCGGTCACCGGCATGAGAACCTCGCACGCAAATATTCAGCGGTGTTTGGTCGAAAGGAGGATCTTCGGCGGTATCTGTACCTGTACACCTTTGAATCGCAGGCTGCCGATAATGAAAGTGCGCCAAGGACGGAAACGCTTGATGATTTTTACTACAAGGGCAATTTTGAGTATGAATCGTTCGTCCTGAAGAGCAGGGGCAACAAGGCGTTCAATGAGATGGTGAAAACGTTGGAATTTGAGAGTTTGAGGCTGTTCAAGCACTCACTGCTGCTTGAGACAATGGAGGATGTGCGTAAGGATGAGAGTATAAAGCTGTTTGAAGCTGTGCATCCCGAAGGTGTAGTGAAACTGTTGTGCACTGCTGACATCCGGCAAAAAAACGCTTTTTAGTGTTTTGGCTCGTTCCAGCCCGGTACACCGGTACCGTGCGGTGCAGGTAATAAATTCGTGTAATTCGCGCAAAACCGATCATTTTAAATTTTGCAAAAATTTTTACCCCCGTTCTCAATGATGAAAAAGTGCGTTTGGCAGATTTGTGAAGAAAAACAATGCTACCATTCAATTTCTGAGCGGACCGAAGATTTTAAACCTTTATTAGACAAATAAGTTTTTTTACGTGTTTTGTGGGCGTTCATTATTGAGAACGGTCCAGGAGAGCCGAGTTATTTACTTTTAGCAGGCGGTCAAGAGCATCTTTGTTACCGTATTTCTCGGTTTAGCTCTTTTGTAGAATGCTCAATGTTTTATCACCTTGTGGTTATCTCCGTGCGACATAACATCTTTGCCATATGCTGGGGTTGTCATGTCCCATCCTCGCTTCGCTCCGTATCTCTCATAGTGACCCAAAATCGGGATGCAGCGCACGGCGTGGAGATTTTCCCTCTTATGGTAAGAAATGACCCTCGCCACTACGTTCTAGGACATACCTCCACAACTTGTGTCGTGCTTGCTCGTGGGGCCTTAACACACTTGTTACGCCATGCTATCAGAGCGCAAAGCACAATTACCTCAAAAGCACAATCGCAATATCCGTGAACGAACTCGTTTCGTAAACACTGACACGAAGATAAATAATTGATCGGTGCCATAACTTCAGAACTCATGTGGAAGAGTCGGTCTCCAAATTACACAATCTCACTGTTTCTGAAAGAAAATCGCACTCGCCCTTCAAAAATTGAGTAGCCTTTTCTTTGCTATTGCAGAACAAGACCATGAATCTTTTACTACGTCCATAGCGTGTGCAAAATCGAGACACCTTTGGTGCCACGTCTGGGAGGAACATAACGAGCACAAAATTTTTGAACCCCAACATGTCCACAAAAAACGATGATACGATCTCGCCGCTCGCAACGCCCTCGCTAACAAAACGCATACTCTCGAACATCAAAGAGTACCGGGGGCGTAACATCAAAAAGGGCGCCAATGAAGTGACCAAGATGATCAACAGGGGGAAGGCTATGCTGGTTGTGCTGGCGGCCGATTGCAATCCTATTGAGATAATTCAGCACATACCCGTGCTGTGCAATGATAAGGATGTGTCGTACATTTATATAGAGTCTGGGGAGGCGTTGGGCCGTGCGTGTGGTGTGGAGAGAGGCATAGCGGCAGCTACGTTTTATTACGACAGTGATGAGGCGTACGATAGGATGAGAGCCAATGTGGGAGGTATTATCAATGATATTAGAACATGATGGGACCAGAGTGGTGTGGGAAGATGAATAAACGTACTTTTAGTGAAAAACAGAATCGGTGCATGGTGATGATTAAATATTCTACGGTACGGCAGATTGCATATTCTGACAGCTGACGAGCAATATTTGCATTTTTACACCTGGCATCTAAGTCTGGTTGAGGAATTAATTCGGTGCGAAGCGGTGCGCTTGATCACTGATTCGTTCCTTTCAAGGATAGCAAAGGGCAATTAATCACCATTTTAAAACGAGGCCACCAATCCATTCGTTCATATGGGTAAGTCACAACGCTACGCATTTCTTGTCATCGGACGAGATGAAGCGTATGATGAGAGACTAGCACTTCCAAACAATGCGCTGTAATGCGGAGCTATCTTAAATCAGGTGTTGCGTAAATTCATTTACTGCGAACCGTGCAGTCTTCAGAATTAAGCTATAACCAGCTACGCTGTTCCAGTTTGGAAACCGGTCAAAAAGACGATGTCAATTTGTGCCAGATAGTGTGGCTTTTAGTAAAAAAGTTATGCACGATAGCGGCGGTTTAAAGCAAGTTTAGAAGTTTTAAGATGTTGGTCACGACAGTACGGTGAGTAAGGGTTTCTGTGATACTTCTGCAACTTGGACTGCGGTATCGTATACACTAGGTTCGAGTTGTGTTCTCGATCACTCCTTTTTCTGTCTTAGAGCCTGAGAACCGAGCCGAATGGTTGACTGTTCCGTTCGCAAAGATGCAATTCGAATCGCTTCAGAGGAACACGTAGAAATATCCAGAACAAGAACCGTCACAATGAAGAGATGCACCAGCAAGAAATGTGTTCAAGAATGAGGAGTACTGATCGTGGCCGATGGAAAGCGGTCCGTCAATGTAGCACGGGTACTTTATCATTGTCGGATGGCAAATAACATAACATCCAAATATTCTTCAATTTTTTACCGAGTTCAATATTTGTGGCGGCAATTTCACCAAGAACAAAAGGTCCTTCGGTTGCCATGGGTAATCCTCCAAAAAACGGTTCTAAAAAGGCAAATCGTACCAATTGCAGTCAAAAACAAAACAATGCATGCGTTGAGTTGGTAAGTGATGGGATGATTCTGCAATACGCTATCTAGTCCAACAAGGCAGATAACACTCGCTAGTGTGTGGGAATACGTTAAATAAATTTATTTTAACAGCTGCTGTAATGTACAGTATGATATGATTTTCTATGCATCATATTTTGATGTGCTCTACGTTTTTATTGTGAATACGGCAGTTTTAATCATCATAGCTAATTTTCCCGTTTGGTGTGTAAATTGAGTGAGCTTAATTATCGATCATATTTAAATATCTTGGCCGTCATAAATAGCAATGTTCACGAACGGTACCATCGGCAACGAAACATTTATCGCTGGTTCGGGCACCACCGCACCCACAAATGATTACAGCATCGGTACTTCAATATTAAGCTTAGCATCCCGTGGAAATGAAACTTTTGTTGACACCTTAACTGCTCATGTGCTACCTCTGTTTGGAATCGTCTTGGGCGTATTGCTTTGTTTATTTTGCACCTATAAGAGCTGCAATACCGGGTCAAGGCGAAGAGAAGAGCAAATATCACATAATTACGATGATGCGAACGAAGATATTACAGTGAAACCTCAGAGTGTGAGTGATACAGGAAATATTTGAAACCTTAAGTAAACCTGCTGTTGGTAACACGGCCTAAAAATTGATGATTTATTAAAATTATTTGGTATCGCACTAGGCGTACTTCTTTGGTTTGCTACAACGTTCTTGTGGTGTAAATTGCACTTACTTTATTTAGTGCGCTCTTAATTGAGGCGTGGAATTGAGCCGATAGACCAGTGAGCAGAATTTTGGATGTGTTGGGGTCAATCCGTGCGTCACCAGCAGCTTTAATGGTAGAGGTCACGACCAAAAATGCATTTGACGTGCAAAAATATTGGAAGACAATACGTGCGCCTCATAGATAAGGACATAATTTCTAAACGATACTTTAGCACGTGGTGATACCCACTGTACAGTTTATTTACAACCACAACGTGCTGCATCCTGTTGATCGCGCTAGGCATGGTCAAAGTCATTGGTAAAGCGTTCTGGATGCAATTAAGCTGTCTGTCATGAACGTTCTGCTGAGGAGCGTGATAGATT